AAATATATAAAGTATGAAAACTGGCAAAATTATCATTGTTCACAGATGATGACACACAAAATCCAAAGAATCTATAGCTAAAATAATCAAATATATAAAAATCAATTGCATTTTTATATACTAGCAACAAACTGTCAGAAAATGTAATTTAAAAATAACATCTACAATAGCATTACGAATCATCAGGTAAGATGAAAAGACATATGAGACCTCTAAAGAAAAAATTATAATACTTTTTTGAGAGACACCAAAGAAAGATCTAAATTAATGGAAAATTACACCATCTTCATGGTTTGGAAGACTTACAAAGACATCAATTCTTCACAAATTGATGACAGATACATTCAATTCCAATAAAATCCCTATAGGCTTTCTCATGGAGCTTGATGATTCTAAAATTTATATGGAAATGCAAGAGACTAAGAATAGTCAAGACACTCTTGAAGTAGAAAAAGTAGGAGGACTGGCTCTATTAGATATCAAAACTTACTTTAAAACTATAAATAATTAAAGCAGTATTGGCATAAAGAGACAATAGACAAATATAAAAGTCCAGAAACAGATTCATACATAAATGAACATTTGATATATAAAAGAGGTAGCACAGTAGAACAATAGAGAAAGAAAAGACTTTTCAATAAGAGGTGTTGGGGCAACCAGATATACATATGCAAAAGGGGAGGAGGAGAGAAGAGGGGAAAAGGGGAAAGGAGAGAGGACAGAAAATTGGAGCTCTACCTCATACCACTGCCATAAAAGTCAATTCCAGGCAGATTAAAGATCTATACAGATGCTCCTCAACTTATAGTTGGGTTATGTCCCAATAAACCCATCTTAAGTTGAAAATAACTAACCTACTAAACATCATAGCTTAGCCTAGCCTACCTTAAACATGCTCAGAACACGTACATTAGCCTACAGTTGGGCAAAATCATCTAACACAAAGCGTATTTTATAATAAAGCATTGAATATCTCATGTAATTTATTGAATACAGTACACTGTAGAGTATCGGTTGTTTACCCTTGTGATCACATGGCTGGCTGGGAGCTGTGGCTCATTGTCACTGCCCAGCATCACAAGAGCATCATACCAAATATCACTAGCCCAAGGAAAGATCACAATTCAAAACTTAAAGTAAGGTTTCTATTGAATGTGTATCGCTTTCACATCATCATAAAGTTGAAAAATCATAAGCCAAACCCATCATAAGTCAGAGACC